GTAATGTCGACCAAAAAGATCCTTGACTGTGCCCGGTCCATCAGCACAATATCAGGCTTATTCGCAAGAATAGTCCTGTCTGTGATGATGGCCCGGTCCCAGTAGAGCCTGGCGCGGTCATTTTCGAGCACGGCTTCCGGCAAGTACTTATAATACGGCAGTTTCCGATCCACGAGGCCGTATTTCAGAGCGAGCTCCTGGTGTAGAATCCTGGCTACTAGATTGTGTCTGTGCAAATACTCAGAGTTAGAAAGCGCCGAACAACCGGAGATGACATGCCTAAGTGACTCACCGGGATGGCGACAAGCTCGACAGATGTCGACGGCGCCATCCTTTAGGATGTATCTCCGATAATTGTTGGTCTTAATAACCTGATCCTGTATCGCACAGACAAAACCCTCGTTTTCCCCAAAGAGGTCACCGAAACATAGCCAGTGAAGGGAGGCGACTGTGTCTACGAAAGGCTCATGTAGAGCCTTGTAGAACCTCCCGTGGAGCTCCTTCTCCTTCCATACGGCCTCCGGGTCGGAAATGCACTGTACTGCTGGGTCTTGCCATTGCTCGTTGGCTAAGGATAGAGGGGTTATTATTTATTATTATTATTATTATTAAAATAACGTTACCCCCACACTAGGATTTTCTCCTGTATCGTGAAGGCAGTTTACAAACATAGATTGCACGAGGACAAACATCCAGACCCGGAACAATTATTTGTAGGCCATACTTGTGCCGTGCGGGATTCGAACATATTTTATTTGTTTTTTGATTACAGTACAAACAGAACCAATTTCATTCATATAGCTTCAAACATAATTAATTTATAATTAAAAAATTAATATTGATTTTTAACACGCTTTTATTAGCTTCGCGGGTATCTTTCTATGTAACAGAACCAACTTGTAAACGGCCGATTGACCCTAAAAATTTGCACTCGTACACTAATTTAATAATTTTATCCTAGTATCCTGATCAGGATCACCATAAGGATCAGGATAATTCTTTCTAAAATCATCACAGCTCATGATCAATGCGTAATTTTAATTTTGCTTAATGTTTTTACTAGTATTATTAACCCTGCTGTATTTATTTATTACAAGCCAGTGCTTGTCCACAACATCACCAGGTGGTAAGTGGTGATGAAGCCCTAGATGGTAAATCGCACTGTCTAAGCGTAACAAAAGCCTATTCATTCTTGCCTTGATGACGTCCAGATTTTAATAGGGCGGAAAGATACGCCGGCAGATTAATCCACTATTTTACTGTACTCATTACAAAGACGAAGCAAGCCGTTTAGATCGAATGCGTGGAATGTCAACAATGGATTTACGGTTGTGGAAAGGGGAGGGAGGACCTGCGCACGCTGTTTCTTTATTTTTTACTAGCTGTTCCCCGCGACTTCGCCCGCGTGTAATTTAGGGTTTTAATTTTACTGCGCGGAACGCTAATTCATTTTCTAATATATAAGTAGCTTAAGTTACTCCTTATAACATCGGCTATCTGCCAGTGAAAGTCCAAGAACAAACAAACAGACAGACAAAAATTTTGAAAAGTGTTTTTGTTATAAGTACCATATATACTTCCGTGTGCATTTAGTAAAAAACTGTTATTTTACCATTACAAAGAGACACTGCAATTTTATTTATTTGTATAGATTACACATTATACTCTAAATAATCAAATAATATTCGACTGATAATTTTCTTAAAACTTCAACATCATCACCATCATCATTACAGCCCTTCACAAGTCCACTGCTGAACATAGGCCTCCCCAAAGGAATGCCACAAAGCACGGTCCTGAGCCACTTGCATCCCTCGACTTCCTGCATGACTTACCAGGTTGTCACTCCATCTAGTGGGGGGTCGCCCTACACTTCGCCTATCGATACGAGGCTGCCACTTGTTGCTGAGGACGTGCGCTCTAGAGTTGACACCGGTTCTAATGCGTCTTTTCCAGTACTCCTACTCCCTAGGCGTCGTCCCGAATTCATGGAAGACAGCTTTCATGCACCCGATCTCTAAAAAAGGTAACCGTTCTGATCCGTCCAACTACAGGCCTATCGCCATCACCTCCTTGATCTCGAAAATAATGGAGTCCATTATTAACTGCCAGCTCTTGCGGTACCTTGAGGAGCACTAGCCGATTAGTGACGGCCAGTACGGTTTCCGTCGGGGTCACTCAGCTTGTGATCTTCTTGTTTACTTAACACATAGATGGGCGCAAGCGTTCGAGTCCAAGGGGGAGGCATTGGCCGTTAGTTTGGACATAGCGAAGGCCTTCGATCGAGTCTGGCACAATGCTCTTCTTTCGAAGCTTCCTTCCTATGGGCTTCCCGAGAAATTGTGCAATTGGATCACCAGTTTTCTGGCTGATCGGAGCATCAAAGTCGTATTAGACGGTGCATGCTCCGATTACAAGCCTATTAACGCTGGTGTCCCACAAGGATGCGTGCTATCACCAACGCTGTTTCTTCTGCATATCAATTATATGTTGCAACAAACACATTCAAACATTCATTGCTATGCGGATGACAGCACTGGTGATGCTCTATACACCGGCCGTGCCAATATTTCTCGTTTCCCGAGGTTCGTTCCACTCTCGAGACTGTTAACATATCCTGCGCTTTGATCACTTTATTTTATTTCACGCCGATGTTGTTTATACCCTATCCATTCCAGTCCAGTAGCTTGGAAACGTCTTCCAATGCAACGGTGAATAGTTTCGGGGATATAACGTCACCCTGTCTTATATCTCTTCTTCTTTCGTACTCTGCTTCTGTACTCGCGATAGCCATTGTATTCCTACTGTACAAACACTTCAGCACTTCAATATACCGACGTTAACTTGGCACCGCTGAACAGATCGTAGCACTGCCCAATTTTCTATTTCCTTCCTTCCAAATTTAAAACGATATTTCCACAATTATTTCTTCTGCGGCCACAATGCCGGATACTAGCTATTTATATTCTCTTTGCCAGCTAGTCTTAAATACAAAACTCATTTAGACAGTTAGTTATCAATATTTAGGTGTTAGTATTTATGTAAACAATTTAATTCTTAGACAATATAATCTGTTACAATTCAGGAGAATTCCTACGAAAAACAATATGAGGCTTGAATGTGATTATTTTCTAGCCGAGTTGACTAATTGAGGTGACGTAATGAGGTGACATACGTGGTAGAGCCATGTTGCAGCTATATTATAGTTGTATTACGAATGGGTCAGCTCGACTGGGGAAGAACCACGATCTCACAGAATACCAGCATAAAATAGCAGCTCAATGCTGCTGTGTTTCGTATGGTGAGTGTAGAGAACTTGAATTCCTGTTTACTGCATACTAGGGATTCCATCATAGTCCTCAGTGATGACAACGCATCTGCATTTTGATTCTAAGTCAGAAATAAATGTAGATGTCTATAGGTCACAGCATCCTCTTACCATCAGGTGGTCTGTGTGTCCGCTTGTAACCCTTATTCTATAAATAAAAAACAATATTTCACACAAATATTTCACTATATAGCGATAGTTGTATAATGCATTACATAAAAATATTAAACAGCAATATTAAACAGAGTCCAATGCAGCAGCTAAACATGGACTTCCTCCAAGGAATGCCATGAAGTACGGTTAAAACGTTGTTGAAGTACGGTTGTGACAGTGGTAGAGCCACGCGACAGCTTTTGTTGTCGCACGGATGGGCCGGCTCAAACCGGGGTGGTACCACGACCTTACAGAATACCAGCGTGAAGTAGAGGTTTACCTCTGCGTTTCGCTCGGTGAGTGCAGGTGGCCGGAGGCCCTTTTTACTGGAAAAGAGGCATTCCACCTTAGTCCTCACGGGTGACAACGCATCTGCATTTTGATTCGCAAACGAGGATAGATGTAGATGTCTATGAGCCACAGCTACCACTTACCATCAGGTGGACTGTGTGCTCGTTTGTCACCCTATCCTATAAAAAAAAATTCTTACACTTCTTTATTTATAATTGCCACATGTAAACAAAACAAGTCTAAAGTAAATCTAAATTAGTTTTTACGCACCCTTAAGCCGGCTATATAAGTACATTCGGAATTCCGTTTCGGAATTCCTAACGGGTCAGCCACATATTCGGAATTCCGATTAAAACTACTGTACATGTGTGGTAGGTCCTTGATTTGATATGGATTTGCTGCGTTTGGAAATTCGGATCGGAATTCCGAATGTATATGGCCGGCCTTTAATCTGTACGGTTGCGATTTATAAGCTAACGAGACTGATAAGTATCGCATCCCCTCATAAATCTACCCTACTATATTACGTAAACTATTGTTCTTTTTAATTATTTTTTACGTGTTATAAGCCAATGGTTAACATGTTGTGCTCATTTGTTAATTTAATTAAAAAAAAGAGTACAGTACAGAGTACCCCACCCACATCAATAAAATATTATTCTGTAATAAAATAATATTATCCTCGTATCTGTTGATTGTTCAGTTTCTTTTAACCGAATTCCTAACGGGTCAGCCACATATTCGGAATTCCGATTAAAACTACTGTACATGTGTGGTAGGTCCTTGATTTAATATGGATTTGCTGCGTTTGGAAATTCGGATCGGAATTCCGAATGTATGTGGCCGGCCTTTAATCTGTACGGTTGCGATTTATAAGCTAACGAGACTGATAAGTATCGCATCCCCTCATAAATCTACCCTACTATATTACGTAAACTATTGTTCTTTTTAATTATTTTTTACGTGTTATAAGCCAATGGTTAACATGTTGTGCTCATTTGTTAATTTAATTAAAAAAAAGAGTACAGTACAGAGTACCCCACCCACATCAATAAAATATTATTCTGTAATAAAATAATATTATCCTCGCATCTGTTGATTGTTCAGTTTCTTTTATTCTAAATTGTTTCTAATCTTTTGCAAAAAAATGAAGATCTTAAACCTAAATATCCATCTTTAACTCGCAACAAGTAATGACACTTGAATGTTATTTTTTCCATCCACTCACCTGTTCTTGAGAAGCGTAGTGGCTGTCCCCATGATCAAAGGACCAATAGGAATGGTCGAATGTGAAGTCCTTGTACTTCTCCCGGCTGCCATCGTTTTGCTCTTTGCTATTCTGTGGACAAATGTACAGCCATAAGCAATTTGTATATTTTTAGAACGAAGTTCCTTACTGGACGGTATGACTTTGGCGGATGGAAGCTCGGCGAGAATAAGTGTGTAGACGGCTATAAAGAAGCGAGATGGAATATTATCCATCTCGCTCGCATTTTTTCTTATCTTGCCGTGAAAGAAATATTTTATTTTAAATAACGCTTCATTTTAATAGACGCTGGTAATTCATTTGTTTGTATTTGTTAACCAATAATATAATACGCTTAACAATAATAATATACCACGAAAGGAACTTTTTTCCAACAGTGTTCCACGACACTCACGCATGTTTTTATTGAATAAAATATCAGTAATCAGGCACATTGTACGCAAAAAAAAAACTTGAGGTCAATCACCACTGAAATTATTAATTGTAATTTTTAACATTGATTTGCCACGTCTTGAGCCCCATCTAATAAAAGTTATAACTACATTTTCAACTTCTTTATATATTTTTGTATTGTAAAAATCAAACATATTTTATACAAAATTGATTTGGTAGAAAATTTACGATAATGTAGAACTTTCAGGTACATTTGTCGGAAAAAGTGGTTTAATAAACGCAGAATTTTTGTTTGAAGTGTACATTATTGTATGATGCCCGGGCCACACTAATGAGAAATGCCGTTAATTATCGCGCGATAATTTTACAACGACATTAACAATGCCGTTTGCCGTTGGGCGATAACTCGAGTGGCGGTACTTCAAAGAGATTAACGCACGAATTAACACGTTGAAGCGGCTACACTACGTTTGTCTCATTGTGCACGGTGAGTCGCACGTATGGTTGTGATGGAGTGAAATTATGAAAAAGTTATTAAGTTTCTTGAGATTCTGCAAACAGAGCCATGCTTAGGCAATGATAAAATATATTCATATAATAAAAATGTACATTCATCAAATATAGAGTAGCAGCGTCAACGACCATCCATCTTGCTTGGTAAATTCAAGGAACATTAACGCCAACATTAATGCCGTTCAACGGCATTGAAATTGAAATGACTACCTATCCAAGTGTGGCCACTCACATTATCGCGTTAAAATTAAGGCAATAATTGTTGCGTTTATGCGCATTGACGTTTCTCGTTGTGGCCGCAGCATAATTGTAACACAATTCTCTGTTAGTGATTAGTAATTATTGTAAAAAAGCAATATTTCAGGTTCTGGTATGTCACCATACGAGACACAACAGAATTAGGGCCGCTACATACATGCGGAAATTCGTTTTTTTTTATATCGGATAAGGGTGACAAACGAGCACACAGTCCACGTGATGGTAAGTGGTTGTTGTGGCCCGTAGACGTCTACATCTATCCTCGTTTGCGAATCAAAATGCAGATGCGTTGCCAGCCGTGAGGACTAAGATGTAGTGCCTCTTTTCCAGTAGAAAGTGTCTCCGGTTCTCTACACTCACCAAACCAAATACATCAACATTAAGCTGCTATTTTACGCTGGTATTCTGTGAGAGCGTGGTCTTTCCCCGGTCGAGCCGACTCATTCGAGCTACAATTATACAATTAATATAGCTGCAACATGGCTTTATCACGTAAAAAAAAACTGTCTCGGAATATCGATTCGGGTTCCGTAAATACATCACACACATACGTTTATTTCCCATCGGAACAACAAGGCTCAGTTAAGAGACGCTAGCCATTGAGTGGAGACATTTTGCCAGCGAATATGGATGACGATTTTCTGATTGCGATTGCATTGTTGTTGTATCATTGTTACTAGGTGCGTCCAGCTACTATTTCCAGCTGGGTTTCCGTGGGAGCGTCATTCTTCCTCGGTCTAGCCTACACGTTAGTGCTGCAGAAGACATAATACCCCTCTACCACGTAAAATATAAATACTATTAAAGTTCTATTATATTACATTAATCCTGTATTTTAATAATAATTCGGCAACAGTAAACGTAGAACTTCGTGATTTTGTAGTCAAAATGTCACGAAAGCTACAATAGTTTTTTTTTTTATTGTTAACAATTAATTGATATCTGAGTAGTGTAAATTGACCTTGACAGTTCCGCTATTATTTGTACTCCATTTTTACTTTTAATGTTATTAGAAACCGTCTGATTTTTTTTACAGAAATGTAAACATAATAAACATATACAAAGAAATAAGTGTACCGTATTTAAATAGTTTAATATTATGATGTTTTTATTTATCCATAAAAGTAAAATTAAAATTAAGTTTAAGTTTTTTTTTTAAGTTTTTTAATAAAACGTTACCTCCAACAAGGATTTTCTCCTGTATCGTGGGGGTAGTTTACATACATGAATTTCACTTAGGACAAACATCCAAACCCGGAACAATTATTTGTAGGCCATACAAATACTTGTTCCGTGCGGGATTAAATCAAAATCAAAATCAAATGGTGTGAATTAGCCTGTTTAAGGAGTCCCCAAAGGTAGGGAAGGTTTTTATACGTGGTAGAGCCATGCTGCAGCTATATCTGTAGTATAGTTGTAGCACGAATGGGTCGGCTCGACCGGGGAAGGACCACGCTCTCACAGAATACAAGCGTAAAATAGAAGCTCAATGCTGCTGTGTTTCGTATGGTGAGTGTAAAGAACCGGAGACACTTTTTACTGGAAACGGGGCATTCCATCTTAGTCCTCAGCGGTGACAACACATCTGCATTTTGATTCTTAATCGAGGACAAATGTAGATGTCTACGGGCCACAGCATCCACTTACCATTAAGTGAACTATGTGCTCGTTTGTCACGCTTAATCTATAAATAAAACATCCCGACTGGTAAATTAACGTGGCATTATTTAAATTTAAGATAATTATCAAGGGTCATTTATTTTATCAATTTTTCGATAAAAAAATTCTCCAAGTTGTTCGGATCAATTATAGCCTTTTTTATAGCATAGGGTGACAAACGAGTTCACAGTCCACCTGATGTTAAGTGGTTGCTGTGGCCCATAGACATCTACATCTATCTTCAATTACGAATCAAAATGCAGATGCGTTGTCACCAGTGAGGACTAAGATGGAATGCCTTTTTTCCAGTAAAAAGGGTCTGCGGTTCTCTACACTCAGCATACGAAACACAGCAGTGTTAAGCTGCTATTTTACGCTGGTATTCTGTGAGAGCGTGGTCCTTCCCCGGTCGAGCCGATCCATTCGTGCTACAACTATACTACAGATATAGCTGCAGCATGGCTCTACCACGTATAAGATCCACTTATAAGCCTAGGTCACTCATGGCGTTGCTCTCTATTCACTCGTCAAGTTTTATTACAATTGGTCCAGCCATTTTGAAGATTATCCCGATCATATAGACAGACAAACAGACAGAAATGGTTATTCGTGTCTTAATGCATGAAGGCAGTTTTTTTTTCGAAATATCAGACAGATACTTCAATTTTATTTATACGTGTACATGAAGCCTATTAAATGTAAATAACAAAGTAAACCTTAACAACCTTGATAGTAAATGTTCACTGTCTAGTGTCTACTGAATGGAACGATTCCGTCTCTGTGTTTGCACACTGCATTTGGAAAAGACTGGTTCCGATTTTAAAATATCCTTATTTCACGGTTTCACGGTTGGTATGTTTGTATATTTGTTTTTTTTTTTTTAATAAACGTTGTTTCCGCACTAGGATTTTCTCCTGGATCGTCGTCATTTTCTATACATAAATTTCACAAGGACAAACATCCAGACCCGGAACAATTATTTATAGGCCATACAAACACTTGTTCGTGCTATAGAAACAGAAACAGAAACTTTTTTATTCAATATAGATTATAAATAATACTTATTGAAAGTCACTCTTTTTTTTGATTACCACTGGTTCGGAAAAAACCTCTGTCCTGGGAAGAACCAGCAAGAAACCCAGCGGGACTTTTTTTTTAAATAACAGCTTACAATCATGTATGTTACACAAATTAACAACACAACAAATTAGAAATAGCTTGGTAGCGATCACCTCATTTCCAGGGGTTATTATCATCTATAAATTCATTAATATTATAATAACCCTTTTTATACAAACTGAGTTTAATAGTTTTTGAACTTTGAACAGGTCAAATTTTGTATATTTTCTGGAATTTTGTTGTAAAAGCGTATACATCGCCCCAAGAATGAATTACTGACTCGATGGAGTCGAGTAACTGTAGTAGTACACTAGCTTGTGTCTGTTCCTAATATTTACAGAATGAATATCATTTATTTTTGTAAAACTACTTTTATTTTTGTGTACGTACATTACATTTTCATAAATGTATTGAGAGGCCAAAGTTAATATATTAATTTCCTTAAATTTTTGTTGCAGCGACTCTTTAGGCTTTAAATCATAAATTGCTCTTAAATTATATATTGTTCATTGCTAATACCTAATAAGCCACTGCGTCCCGGAGCCGTTAGATAGTTTAATTGGAAAATCTAATTAATATTCTAATGAGTTTTATTTTTCGGACAACTTCGATTTGAGGGAAACGGACCTATTGGCCTAGATTTCTTGCTAAAAATAGGTTCTAATAAAAGAGATAATTTAAAATTAAAAAATTTGTACAGCCGACTTCAATATAAGTTATTTAAGATTAACTCAATAACCATTGGTCTGACCTTGATCAAATTCATATGGGACCACACGAGAACTATCAGCTTTCATATAAAAAAAGAAATCATCGAAATCGGTCCACCCAGTAAAAAGTTATGAGGTAACACACATAAAAAATAAAAAAACATACGCGTCGAATTGAGTACCGTCTCCTTTTTGGAAGTCGGCAGAAAAAATACGGTTAGATTCCCAAATGAAAACAATATTCATCATTAATTTATCATCATTAAAGCCTATTAAAGTCCACTGATGAGCATAGGCCTCCCCCAAATGTCATATTGCCACAATTGCCACTTGGCAGGCGGGTTGGCAACCACATTGTTTTGTTTTATTAATACTTTTAAATGAGTAAAATGGGCCAGATTAGGAGTACCCTTAACCGAC